GGCTCACTGCAAGCTCTGCCTCCCGGGTTCACATCATTCTGCCTCAGCCTCCCGAGTAGCTGGGACTACAGGCGCCCACCACCATGCCCGGCTAACTTTTTCTTTTTTTGGATTTTTAGTAGAGACGGAGCTTCACCTTGTCAGCCAAGATGATTTCGATATCCTGACCTTGTGATCCACCCTCCTTGGCCTCCCAAAGTGCTGGGATTACAGGTGTGAGTCACCGTGCCCCCTAATCCCTGTTTTTTCATGTGGCCAAACTACTATTTATCCTGTGAGTCTCCACATAATCACGCTCACCCAGCAAGCCCTCCTAGACTCCCCAGATGGGTCTGGGAGCCTTCTCTGGGCTCCCAACAGCGCTTAGGGCATCCCCCATCCTGCATGCCTCTCTGTCCCAGCCTTGTCCTCTCTGCCCGTGCCTCCCCGTCCCATCCTCAATCATTCCAGGTCATTCCTGCCTGGTGGGGCAAGATCTCTTCGGTGTCCAGAAGTGACTGTGGACCCCATGAGGGCAGAACTGAGGGCTGTCTTGGTTACCACTATGTCGCCCACACCACCCAGCACAGGGCCAGACACACAGCAGGAACCTGTGGGCAATGACGGAATAAAAGCATAAATGAGAGGGAGGTGAGGGAGAGAGATATGGGCACCATGGCCCCTGCCAGGAACTGGACAGAGACAATCATCTCTGGGACAGATCAAATGAGTTAGGCTCTCTGGCCTCTGGGCCTTTGCACAGACTGTTCCCCTTGCCTGGAACACTTTTTTTCCTTTTTTTTTTGAGATAGGATCTCACTCTTTCGTGTAGGCTGGATTGCAGTCCTGTGATTATGGCTCACTACAGCCTCGACCTCCCAGGCGCAGGTGATTCTCCCACCTTAGTCTCCCAAGCAGCTGGGACTATAGGCGCGCACCAGCATGCATAGCTAATTTTTGTATTTTTTTGTAGACACCAGGTTTTGCCATGTTACCCAGGCTGCTCTCAAACTCCTGAACTCCAGCGATCCATCCTCCTTAGTCTTCCAAAGTGCTGGGATTATAGGTGTAAGCCACCGTGCCCAGCCCCAGAATACTCTTACACCTCTCCTTTTCCTGACCATTCTACTCATCCCTTCAACATCAGCTATGGTGCCCCTCCTCCAGGAAGCCCTCCCTGATTCTGGGCTGGGTCAGGTACCTTCTTTGGGCTCCCCATCCCGGTCCCACCCACTCTGGGTCATCACTGCCTTACAGGTCTGTTCCCCAGCTACCCACCCAATGAACTATATGAGCTCTATGAGGGCAAGGATGGGGCTGATTTGGTCATTGCTCTGTCCTTAGCATCACCCATCACAGGGCAGGGCAGAGAGGTGCTCAGGAAACAGATTAGCCAATCACTCGGGTTTCCAGGCCACAGAGGGGAGCCAGGTCTCAGTACTTTCACACCAGTATGGGGTGGAGAGGGATCTTAGGTAAAGTGACCCCAAGACAACACAATGGGGTGCACCCCATTGAGAAACAGGGGTGGGACACACAAGTGATCCTCACCTCCGCGGCTCAACCACTGCCGCACAACTCCGGTGACATCAAAAGACAACCACTCCGGCGAGTCGCTGGGCGCCAGCAGCCGGTTGCTGAGGTATCGCCAGGAATTGTTGCTGTATTTCTAGAGGATGATGAAGTTGGGAGAGAGACAGTGGGTATATGCTGCCACGCCCCCTCATATACTAACTCAACCCTTCACCCCATCTGCTTCCAGAAAGTTCCCACGCACTACCTTCTCAGACAGCCACGCTGTGTGGTCCTGTGGCACCCATCCTCCCCCACAGCACCCGTGAGAGGAAGGGTGGAGAAAACGCCCAGGCTGCGGTCAAGACACCTTCACACAGCTCAGTCGAACGTGTTTTCTTGCCTTCTCCGGCCTGTTTCCTCATTGGTGAAATGCTAAGCCCCACTCAGCGTGGACAGCCCACAATGCTAAAATTCTGCTGCTAACATTCTGGGCCGGGCACAGTGGCTCACGCCTGTAATTCCAGCACTTTGGGAGCCCAAGGCGGTGGATCACTTGAGGTCAGGAGTTCAAGACCAGCCTGGCCAACATGGTGAAACCCCATCTCTACTAAAAATACAAAAATTAGCCAGGCATGGTGGCGTGCGCCTGTAGTCCCCACTATTTGGGAGGCTGAGGCAGGAGAATTGCTTGAGCCCGGAAGATAGAGATTGCAGTGAGCCAAGATCCCGCCACTGCACTCCAGCCTGGGTGGCAGGATGAGACTTCGTCTCAAAATAATATTAATAAATAAATAAATAAATAACAAATACAATAAAATTCTGCTGCAAACATTCTGGGGTTTGCTGAGCATGCAGTTCTGCAAATGTGACACCCTGAATTCTAAGTCAGTAACTTAGAAGTCATTTTGTGATTCAAATGTTTGATAATATCCCAAGATTTCCACATTTAATGAGCCTGAGAAGCTTTAGAAGACTAATGTTCTATAAACCCAAGAGTCTGCCAAGCCGCACCTAGATGCTGGAGGCACCCAGCATCTGTGTAGTATAATTTTCTGGGCCGGGCGCAGTGGCTCACACCTGTAATCCCAGCACTTTGGGAGGCCGAGGCAGGCAGATCACCCGAGGTCAGAAGTTCGAGACCACCCTGACCAATATGGAGAAACCCCGTCTCTACTAAAAATACAGAATTAGCTGGGCGTGGTGGCGCACGCCTGTCATCCCAGCTGCTCAGGAGGCTGAGGCAGGAGAATCGCTTGAACCCGGGAGGCAGAGGTTGCAGTGAGCTGAGATCGTGCCATTGCACTCCAGCCTGGGCAACAGCAGCAAAACTCCATCACAAAAAAAAAAAAAGAAGAAGAATTTTCTGGGGCTGGATAGACCACTCCAGGGCCTGCAGAATAAAGCTGAATTCCCCAGACTCCAAGAGGCCAAGCTAACATAGGACAAAGTTCTCTCACTATGAAAGTCTGAAATCTACCATCGTATGAGTTTAACATTCCCTCTGATGTGGATTCTAGCTCATAGAAACTGCTAGAGCCTCCAGCCCTTCCAGATGCCCCGGTCCTCTTGGAAGTTCCCTATCTTCTAGAGCTGTCCTAAAGAACTTTCTGGAAATGTTCTTTATCTGCAACATCCAAAATAGTAGCTGCTAACCACATGTGACTATAGAGCACTAGAAATACAACCAGTGAGAATGAGGATTTGTTTTTCATTTTTATTTTTTGAGACAGAGTCTCGCTCTGTTGCCCAGGCTGGAATGCATGGTATGATCTCCACTCACTGCAGTCTCCACCTCCCAGGGTGAAGCGATTCTCCCATCTCAGCCTCCTGAGTACCTGGGATTACAGGTGCCCGCCACCACACCTGGCTAATTTTTGTATTTTTAGTAGAGATGGAGTTTTGCCATGTTGGCCAGGCTGGACTTGAACTCTTGACCTCAAGTGATCCACCCACTTGGCCTCCCAAAGTGCTGGGATTACAGGCATGAGCCACCACACCTGGCCTATATATATATTTTTTGAGACAGGGTCTCGCTCCATCACCCAGGCTGGAGTGCAGTGGTGCAATCACAGTTCACTATAGCCTCGACCTCCTGGGCTCAATCAATCCTCCCACCTCAGACTACTGAGTAGCTGGGACTAGAGGCGCACATCACCGTTAACAGGCTAATTTTAGTATTTTTTGTAGAGACCAAGTTTCAAAATGTTTCCCAGACTGGTCTCGGACTCCTGGGCTCAAGCAATCTGCCTGCCTCGGCTCCCCAAAGTGCTGGGATTAGAGATGTGAGCCACTATGCCTGGCCCTAAATTTTTAATTTAATTTTAAATACTTTAAATTTTAATAAAATTAAATGTGACTAGCGGCTGTCACATCGGACAGCATGATTCTAGAGTCCCCAACCTTTTCAGAGATCCCAACTTTCAAGAATCCTGTGTCCTTAAAGAGTCCAACTCCTAAGATTCCAGCCTTCTAAGTGTTTAACGTCCTAGGATGCAAAGAGTCTGAACGTTTAAAAGCGCTCTAGATTCCTGGTGCGGAGGCTCACGCCTGTAATCCCAGCACTCTGGGAGCCTCAGGTAGGAGAATCACTTGAGGGCAGGAGTTCGAGACAAGCCTGGCCAACATGATAAAACTTTATCTTTACTAACAATACAAAAATTAGCCCAGTGTGTTGGTGCATGCCTGTAATCCCAGCTACTCAGGTGGCTGAGGCAGGAGAATCACTTGAA